CTCAGGTTTTGCCTGTGCTCTTTGCATTTAAAATTAGAGGTAACCACAGCATTTGAATCACAATCCAAACAAAGAAGCAAAAAACAGAACGGTCTGACTTTAGCTTTGTGAAACAATGCTACATAAACCATCTGAATGAAACAAACAGCAGACTCTTTTTTTTCTATTTTTGAGAGTGCACTTGTGATCAAACCTACAATTTTTGTGTGCAGGCCAGATCCTAAACCATTTGCAAATTATGCAAGTAGTTAAAGGTTTAGACGCAGTTAATGGAATTTATGCTTCTTAAAAGACCATTTTATCTAAAGGTTTATACTTAAATGCTTGAAATTAGTTTTGTAGACATGAAATGTGCCTCCGTATGCTTTGTTTAGAAATCATACTGTTTTAGAATAGATCGGAATGGAAAATCTCACTAGGTTGTAGTAGGCTGCTTACATTGGACAAAGCTGATGTTTATTACCAGATTTTTTTTTTTGAATGTATGTGTAAATCTCTCCTGTCCTGTTCTCCAGCGGTGGTAAAGAGTGTGAGGGAGATCGTCAGTACTATCCCTTCAGAATGACTCCTTACTTGATGAAGGTTCAGGATATGGAGCACTCTGAAGATCAGTTCTGCTGCCTCCTGCTGGCCGAGAGAGTGCACTCTGGCTACGAAGGTCAGTTCTTTTACACAATCTTCTGTATGTATAATGCATTTTTTTTTATCATTTTATAGTTGCATTGAGGAAAACCGAATCATTTTAGCAAATCGATTCATTAGGACAATGAATTAAAGAGAACTGATTCTCTGAATTATTTGTTGTCTCTTAGTAATATTTCAAGAGGTGCATATTTTTTGGTGTCAAATAAATTAGTTTTTGATTCAGTTATTTAAAGAAGAGTATTTTTTAAACACTACCATTCAAAATTTTTATTATGTTCATTCCTCAGCTCCAAGGATCCCCACGGACAAACGAATCTTCACCACAACACACACCCCCAGCTGTTTGTTTCAGGATGTGGATGAGAGGTAAGTGTGCTAATGCTTCACTGTTGACGGACCTGACGATGATTAGCTGGTAACTTAAGCACTGGGTGTTTCACGCAACAGCTGTACCTCTACACCTGCTGTTTTCCATTTCTCATAATCATGCATATTAAAGCCAATAACAGTTTTTGTCAGACTAATCAGAATTGTTATGTGATGTTTTCTTGTAGGGCCGTTCCATTACTAGGATACCTGCCACAGGATTTGATTGGCACACCTGTCCTGCTGCACCTACATCCCAGTGATCGACCAGTCATGCTTGGCATCCACAGGAAGAGTGAGTCACTCTGTTCATTCTATTTAGTCTTTGCTCTGTCGATTTAGTTCATTAAAGGTTATGTTTAACTTTTTTATGGGAAGGTGCTTTCTTCTATCTTAATCAGAGAGCACTAGAAGTCTATTGTTTTGGGACAAATTGGGGTGGATCATTTTTTTAAATAATAAAATGGGTTTTAAAAGTTCTATTTGTGAGTAAAGACTTTTTTTTTTGTCCCATTAGTCCTCCAGTATGCTGGCCAGCCGTTTGACCACTCGATCCGCTTCTGCGCTCGTAATGGAGAGTACATCACCATAGACACCAGCTGGTCCAGCTTTGTCAATCCGTGGAGCCGCAAAGTTTCCTTCATCATTGGCAGACACAAAGTTCGCATGTGAGTGCATAAGCTGAAAAAGAGAACGTATCTGAGACAAGCTTGATATTTGTTAAAAAATATAATTGCTGAAGTTTTTTTTTTTTTACACGAAATTAATACTTTTCAGAATTCAGCAAGGATGCATTAAATTGATTAAAAGTGACAGTAAAGACATTTAAGTGTTGTTCTGTTGAACTTTCTGTTCATCAAAGAATCCTAAAAAAAAAAAAAGTATCACAGTTTCCACAAAAATATTAAGCAGCTCAACTGTTTTCAACATTGATAATAATCAGAAGTGTTTCATGAGCAGCAAATCAGCATATTAGAATGATTCTGAAGGATCATGTGACACTGAAGACTAGAGTAATGATGGTGAAATTTCAGCTTTGCATCACAGGAATAAATTATATTTTAAATCACATTCAAATAGAAAACACTTATTTTAAATTGTAATAATATTTCAAAATATTACTGTTTTTACTGTATCAAATAAATGCAGCCTTGGTGAACATAAAATACTTCTTTCCGGAAAAAACTTTTGAATGGTAGTTTAACTGTAATTTTGTCCATTCTACCAGGGGTCCAGTGAATGAAGATGTGTTTGCAGCTCCAGCTGCAGCTGAGGGCAAATCTGTAGACTCCGACATCCAGGAAATCACTGAGCAAATTCACAGACTCCTGGTGCAGGTACGGAAACTCATTCACAGTGGAAAGAACCAGATTAACTGAGTCTACAGGAAACTGGCTTTTACATCCTGCCACATGATGTCAGAGATTCGTGGATGAGACTGTGTAACAGACAGACTGTAGTTTAGTGTATGATGCCCAATTTTTTCTCAGTAACCATTTACAAAGTTGGCGAGGTTATGATGCCTAGTGTTAAAATCTGGTGTTGTGTACTCCGTCCTTTTGGATGAGAGAAGTGAAAGTCACTGATAAAAACATGTTTTTGTGTGTTGTAGCCTGTACACAACAACGGTTTGAGCGGCTATGGGAGTCTGGGCAGTAATGATCACCTGCTGAGTGTGGCATCATCTAGTGAAAGTAACGGTAATGGAACACGCCTGCGACAAGAGGAAGAGGATGCCAGGAGAGCCAAACCGGTGAGTCACATGATGAATTCTAGTTCAGTGGTTTTTTCAGTGGAGCCATTTTTGAAAGTCAAATGCTTCAAGGTCACTTTTTTATTCATGCATTGAGGCTCTGGTGGATTTATTTGTCTTTGTATGTGTCTGTTTTCTCAGAGGAGCTTTCAGGAGATCTGCAAAGGAGTTCACATGCAGAAAAACCAGGAGCAGCAGTCCAAGAAGAGCCCTACTAGTATGTACCAATATCCTCCACCATCTGTGCACCCTCATCTGTCATCAAAGTCTGTGTTTTTTGGCGTGTAGCTCAAATCTGTGTCTGAAGACCAGGGATCCATGATGGAGAGAGATTATATTAACAAATATTACAAATGTGATTTGAACTTTGATTTTAAAACACTTAACATCTGTGGCTGGCAATTCGAAAATGCACACACAAAAATGCATCAAATCTCAATGAAAAACCCTTCACATGGTTTCCTCTATTGTAAAAGAAGTACATTTTTAGTTGACTCAAAAATGAGGGGAAAACATCCAGCATTTATTCACAAATGCAGCATGTTAATAATTTTAATATAATATAATAGATTTTATATATTATTTTATATATTATTAAATAATATAGATTTTATATATTATTTATTTATATTGCTTAAATACACTAGTGTTCAAAAGTTTGGGGTCATTAATTTTTTTGAAAGAAATGAACACTTTTATACTGCAGATATGCATTAAATTGATCAGAAGTGACAGTGAAGATTTATATTTCAAATGAATGATGTTCTTTTGAACTTTCTATTCATCAAAGTATCCTGACAAAAAATTTTCAAAAAAGATTATGCTTTTTTAACATTGATAATAAATAAATAATAATTCCTTAATAATAAATAAAGGAATGTTTCTTGACACCAAATGAGCATATTAGAATGATTTCTGATTCCCCCCCCCATGTTACAATCCCGATATATTTTTCACCCTAGGTCACTAGGCAATTCCAATTTTAATATGACTAATTGTGCCTTTTTTCTCTGCAGAGTTTCTACAGAAAAGTTCAATGGTTCGACCCAAAGATTCTGCGTATCCTGTGAACGTAAGAGAGTCTCCTGTGGAGCAGCGTGCTGGCCTTCAAGAGGAGCTGGCCTTCAAAGACAAGACCGTCTACTCCTATCAGCAGATTAGTTGCCTGGACAGCGTAATCAGGTACAAAGACGCAAAGTCACGTCACAGTGAAAACTGATGGTGCATGGACAGAGACTGTCTCGACTCACTTAACCAAATTAAATGCACTTATTGATTCTGTGATGCAAAGAGAGTACGAGAAACTGAATTAAGCGTGCCATGAAGATGAATGAACTTGTTTTCATGAGTCGGCAGAGGACATTAGGTTTTGCAGGATGTGAAGTCTCATTAGCGCTCTTTCTCAACAGGATAATCGTGCTACATATTTAGCCTAAAGCCTAAAACAATGGAAAATGACACAAAATCTCAGTTTTAATGAATTTGACTAATGTTTTTAATATAGAAAAAAAAATCCCTCTTAAAGTAAGCAAATGTTTACTGTAAACATACTGAGATTTTTATTGATGATATTTTCAGTGAGGGAATTCAAAGAGATTAGAAAAAATGGATAGGATTTTGACACGTGTGTTGTACACTTAAACCACAATAATCAAATGATTGTAGGGTCATAATGGTACAAAACAATGGAATAAAGACAAAACAAAGTAGATCAGATAGGTTTTATGTTACATTCAGCCCGGTTAGCCGTTTGTAAACCTTGTTTCATTGATGGCGTCTTTCTCTCTCCATCAGGTATTTGGAAAGCTGTAACGTGCCCATTACAGTGAAGAGAAAGTGCCAATCCTCCTCAAACACAACGTCCTCAAACTCAGACGAAGACAAGCAGAGAGGTGTTGAGAGCTCCATACAAGTGCCTGAAGGTACTGAAACAATTCCACTTTCCAAGATTATTTTGCATAATTGAGCAGGCTCCCAAATTTTTTAAATCCCATTCATTTTCTCCAGAGAGAAATGTTAACAATAACACATAAAACTTTTTTAAAACAGACCTACCATAAAAAAAAGTTTCACCCCAAAAACGTTTGAAATTTAATTTTTAAGTATTAATTTATTTTATTTTTATTTAATACAAATTTTTTAATTCGCAGTATTATATTCTATAAATTCAGTGGCATATGTACGTGCTCTCACACCACACGTTCATTTTCTTACGGAGTGAAAAACATCGCAGAGCAAAGAGGACACAGACAACGCGCTGAGAGACAAGACGAGCAGGTTACTTTTGGCAATAGGAAACAAAGTCTCAGCATTCAAATCCTGTTAGTTTTATTAAGAATTTCAAATGATAAATACAGTTTTGGAGTGGCATGCCGGGTTCACTCTTTGCCTCAGTTCAAGCGAAGCAAGAGTGCATTCTAATTAGCATGAAATAAACATGAATGAACATCCGAGGGCATGTTGAAAGATGCACTACAAAAAATATATATATACATATATATATAAAATGAATATATAATGTGGTATTTGCCTATGAGGCCATCTTGATTGTCAATCCCTGTAAATACATCAGTTCTGAAACCTGTTTATTCTATATTTTCTCTGTGTTCAGAGGCAGGCCATCTAAAGAACCAACCAGGTCTCTCATCATTAGAAGTGTCTAAGAAGCCTCCAGGCTCTGGTGTAGTGAGTCCGTCTCTGACTCCACTCGCGCTGCCCAGTAAACCTGAAAGCGTGGTCTCTATTACCAGCCAGTGCAGCTACAGCAGCACCATTGTACACGTAGGAGACAAGAAAGGTAAAATGATTTATTCCGTATATATCTGTATGTCTGTTCGTCTGGCCTGTCTGTCTTTCTTTCTTTCTCTACTGCTATCTATTCTTATAAATAATGTTTCTGTTACAAAACCTAGTGAGCTGTCTTGATGTCTGCTGCCTGCGTATGAAATTGTTTTAGTTTTCTATTAGCATATTGCTAAGGTAACAATATGATTCTAAACATAAATATACTGTATATATATATATATATATATATATATAGCACAATTAGGCAAAACTGTGCATTTTAATTGCATTTGATTTAATTGTTTAATATAAATTATAAATAAATAAATTAGAATAAAATATGTATTTAATAAATATGATGATAATCATTTTTAATAAATGTAAAATGATAGTCACATAAATTGTTAAATTATTGTTTCTAATAATTTAGTTATAATAAAAATATATAATTAATAAATTTAAAATTATAATATAAATTAAAATTATAATGAATAAATTTGCAGATACTGATGAACATTTTCATTTTATGAATATTACAAATCTATATTGTTTGTTGACATCAATAAAAAATATATATATTTATTTTAATATTTGCTTAAAATAGCATTTAACAGTATTCAGTGTTAAATTATCAGCGTGTTTAAAGATTAAATTTAAGTGAGTGTTAGATGACTGAAATCATCTAAATGGTAATCTAATTTGGGAAATGAGCTTCCACAATAAAATATCCAATAACAGATGATACATATCGACAGAAATAATAAAATGCTATCTATGCAGCTCACAAGGTTTTGGATAGTTTATCTGTATTTGTGCTGTATGTGTTTTGTCTGTTCCTTGGTAAAACACCTTTTTTGTTTTAGTCATATCCGCAACAAGACACATCTCTCCAAAGCAAGAATTCTCTTCCAAACTTCAAAGTTAGTAAAATCTTCCCTTGACATAGGGACAAAAAATTGATTGCGAAGCCTTTTGATTGAGATGATGAGTAAAATAAAGGTGCAGATCACCCCGGCAGGGCTTCAGGAATTTATGCATACGTCTAGCATTTTCCCCTGATTCCCATCCCAACATGCATGAGATAAACTTGAGAAGGCCTGGATGCAGCCCGTAAACAAGTGCTGGTCGTGCCACCTGTGTTTTGGGACAACACTTTGCTCATTGTAGAGTTAAATATCTTGTGTTGTTCTTTGCAGAGATCATTGAAGACGTCCCCAGCACTGAAGGCACTGAAGGTCAGGGTCTCACTGTTCCTCCGGCCGCGGTCTCGCCACACAATCAGGAGCGAGAGGCTTACAAGAAACTGGGCCTGACCAAGCAGGTTCTGGCGGCACACACTCAGAAGGAAGAGCAGGCATTCCTCAGTCGCTTCAGAGAGCTGCGAGGTGTGCACGCTTTTAAAGCCGACTGCTCCCTCTATCTGGAGAGACAGAAAGGACAAGTTACATCTGAGGGTAAGGAGGGATTTTAGTCTAAACCTGAATTTTAAAGACTGCACAGCACAGCACTTCTATTACACGTGAGCAGCTCATGATCCAGTGTTTTCAGTGTCTCAGAGCAGCTCAGTTCACAGTAAATGTGTTCCACACAAATACATCTCTGCATATGTGCTTGTAGTTTATAATGTGTTGTTTATAGCATGCATGTGGGAATGCAATGTGCACCTACCATCATCCCAAACATGTAATGTAAAATACCTATAAACTGATCATTTAAAAATAAAAAAATTAGACAAGCCATAAATATTATTAATATTAATATTTTGTTTAATATTTTTAGATGATAAAAAACTCACCATAATAATTAATTAATATTATTATTATTATTATACATAACATTGATTGTTATTATTTCTATATAATTATATTTCGTTTTATTATTATTTTAGTCATATTATTATATAATAACATAGAATAGCCAAGCTTATTTAATTTTTTTTCCAATCACTTTTTTTTCTGATTGTAAATGTCCCAAAAAATTTTATCAAAGTACAAAAGTTGAATCAAAGTTTACATGATATGAATGAATGATGTTATGATATGATATTATGATTTTATTACAAAAATATTACTAAAGTAAAATAAAGGTGCACATAATTTCTTATTTTGTTTAATATTTGTATTTTGTAATAATAATAATAATTTTATAACATTATTATAATACTCTCTTTTTTTACAGGGAAATGTTACAAAAGTAAAAAAAATAAAGCAGCAAATATTTTTTATTTTGTTTAATATTTTTATATAATAATAATAATAATAATAATAATAAAACAACTTAACAATAATTAATGAATATTATTATTATTATATTAAACATCATTGATTGTTATTATTACTATATTAATTATTATATTTCATTTTATTATTATTTTTGTCATAATAGCCAAGCTTATTTAATTTTTTTCCAATCACATTTTTTTTCTTTGATTGTAAATGACCAAAAAAAAGTAGTCTTTACACGATATATATGAATGAATGATATAAGTTGATAACTGCTTCCTGTCTTTCTCTCCAGCTGTTCCCGCTGCTCGTTCTAAGCAGGGTGGCGGTGGTGCACCTGAGACCAGCGGAACCCGCCGGGGTCGCAACAAGAAGACCAAGTCCAAACGCATCAAGCCGAACGAGTCGTCCGACAGCACTCCTTCAGGCCGTAGGCCACCACCCAGACCTCAGCTGCAGGGCCTCAACCAGACCTCCTGGTCTCCCTCAGACACATCCCAATCCACCTTCCCCATCGCTTATCCGGCTGTGATGCCCGGGTACCCGCTGCAGATGTACCCGGGAGCCGGCGGCATGCAGCCCAGGGTAGATGCTCCACTGTCAGGCTTTGGGGAGAGTCAGTGCAGCCAGGATCCACGCATCCCGATGCAGCCTATCCAAACGCCGTTCTCAGCTCCTCTGGTCACACCCATGGTTGCTCTGGTGCTGCCCAACTATATGTTCCCACAGATCGGCGGTGCTCCACGACAGCCATTCTACCCCAAGCAGGGAAGTTTCCCCGCACAGCCTACCTTTCAACCTCAGCCTAGATTTGCTGCACAAGCAGCGTTCCCTCCACAGTCCACATTCACCATACAGACCCAGTTTGCCCCCCAGAACCCCTTTACTCCGCAGACTCCATTCCCACCACAGCCGTTTCCGTTCGTGTGTCCCGAAGAACTGCCAAAACAGCCTGAGCTGAGGGAGGAGCCTTCACGAAGCCCCACCCCTCAGTCCATGGGTGGAGGCGGGCCGCCGTCCCCGCCTTTGTTCCAGTCGCGCTGCAGCTCGCCTTTGCAGCTCAACCTGCTGCAGTTAGAGGAGACTCAACGCTCTGCTGAGAGACAGGAGTGCACAGCGCCATCTATTGTACCACAGACAAACTGCAGCAGAAGTGTGGAGAAAGCAGGAAGTGCAACTGGGCAAACCAAAACTGACAAGGTTGGTAATCTTTATCTCATTTTCTGTGGCTTACAAGTACTGTCATATTACAGTGCATTTTTTTTACCATTGTGTTCCTTTTAAATACTTTTCTTAATTTCACCTCTCATTCTTTCATTTTTGTCTGAAAGTATTCAAACAACACACACACACAGTCAGGGGTGTCCAAACTCGGTCCTGCAGAGTTTAGCTCCTACTTGCCTCAACACACCTGCCTGAAAGTTTCTAGTATGCCTAGTAAGAGCTTGATTAGCTGGTTCAGGTGTGTTTAATTAGGGTTGGAGATAAACTCTGCAGGACACCTGCCCTCCAGGATAGAGTTTGGAGACCCCTGCAACAAAGCAGAACTCAAATGCAAAACTTTGTCTTGACCAGCAGGTGGCAGTATTAAACCTTTTTTTAAATACTTTAAGCAAGTTCATTCAAATTTTAAGCTTTGCATCTTCATTTTGCCACATTAGACTTAAAGCGTGGAGAATTAAAGCATAATTATTATTGCAAAAGTAATCTCTGTATTAAAAAAAATTATGAAATATTAATTATAATAAAATAAATAATACATGTAAAAATCTTAAGCCAAACATGCAGCTTCAAAGTTTGTATTCTTCACATTAGGCTTTAAGCATGCAAAATTATTTAGGATTACCTGAAAGGATATGATGTCCTGTACATTTTGTAATTAAATAAATAATAAATATAAAAAATGAATGGATAAAATGATGGATTTTGTTACATTCAATTTTTTTTGTTGGTTTTTAGTATGAAGGGTCACCTGTCGACGGTCAGCATAGTGATGCGTTCTCATCATCTAGTGACCTGCTGGACATTCTCCCAGAGGACTCGCGCTCCGGCACCGGCTCTGCTACCTCAGGCTCCATGGGCTCTGGTTCTAATGGCTGTGGGATGTCTGCTAGCGGCGGGTCTGCCAGCAGAACTGGTGAGTTTTGGGGTTTATAGTGGTAGATCTGATACAACACTTGTGTCTTGTGTTACCTCTTTATGATCACGTTAAACATAACCGACTGTGTTATTAATACTTCATTATAAAGGGCCTTTTTACCCAAAAAATGCATTTGACTGCTCACACAACTCAAATCAGTACTACACATACTGTAAAAATATATACTGTTATATATTTTGACAACCTTATATATAAGCACATAAGTGCAATCCCGAAAGAGGAAGAACCTCATATTCTTAGCCCACAATAAACAACATGTACCAAAAAAAAAATTTCCCACTTCCTCTAAATTATTTTGTATTGTGTTTGGTTTCTTCAATACATGATTTCCATGTTAAAACTGTGATGTTCAAAAGGTCCACTTCTCTCATCACTCCTTTCTGCTCTCTTTTATTTATTTATTTTTTTTACATCTTCAGGAAGCAACAACAGCAGTAACTACTTCGGCAGTGTGGATTCTTCACAGAAATCCCATAAGGACAAGGAGCAAGTCTCTGGTTCGGGCTCTGGGGCGCTGGCGCTGGATGGGAGTGAGACGCTGATCAAGTATGCACTGCAGGACCCGCTGTGGCTGCTCATGGCTAACGTGGACAAAGATGTTATGATGCCATACCAGTTACCATCTCGGTGAGTGGGCAGAGAGAGGAGAAATAGCCCACCCACCCCACTACTAGTAATGCCCGCTTACCAGTAACCAACCCCCCCCCTTCCTGCCATTCATCATTAGAGCTCTAGTCATGTCAGTTGTAATCCACAATCTATACTGTGCTTGACCAGGTGAAACAAACTGTCATATTAACAGAACGATAGAATCTAAAAGAGGAACAGGAAGTCTTTTATCTTCCTGTCAGTTTGACCCACACTCAGTTTTCACAATGCTTGAAATACTTGTTAAAATATTTCTTCTTGAAAATGTGTGAATAGTTCTCATTTAGAGTCATGTACAGTTTTTATTATGAAAACTGAAAACCATTATTGTAGCTTGTCAAACACTAAAACATGAAACACATGAGAACTTAGGACTCAAAGTTTACTAGAAAATGAAGAAATCACTGTTTCACAGTCAAAAAAATCAGCCAAAGGTTGTTTTTAGCAGTTTTTCCCCCCATTGATTACATTTACTGAACTGAAGTACTGAAAAGAATGTTAGGTACTATTTATTCTTGTAGTTATTTGCACCTTAGTGTCACTTTTTTTTTTTTCATTTTGTGTGTGTGCAGCTAATTTTGAACATATGTGAAGCAAATTGACCCTTAACACTTTAGAAATAACAATAAAATAGATGGGAATAATTATATATATATATATATATATATATATATATATATAATACATTTTTTGTTTAGTCTCAAGCTACAGTAAAGGTTTACATTAATCTTTAGTGGTTTTAAACTCTTATTGTTTTATTGGACGCTTGCTTGACGTTAAATTACAAATATATTTTTCCCTCTTGCAGTGACATCCAGAAGGTTCTGAGGGAGGACAGGGAGAAGTTGCGGCAGATGCAGAAAAGTCAGCCACGCTTTACAGAAGAGCAGAAGAGAGAGCTGGCGGAGGTGCATCCCTGGATGAGAAGAGGTGGGCTGCCCAAAGCCATCGACGTCAAGGTCTGTATACACTGATATTTATCTGATATTTACTCAAGTCCGTTTTAAATTGAGCGAATGAGGCGTTTAAATAATGCTAAGCTGAATTTTCAGCATCATTACTCCAGTCTTCAGTGGCACATGATCCTTCAGAAATCATTCTAATATGCTGATTTGCTGCTTGAGAAATATTTCTTTAGAGAAACATTATTAGTAGTGTTGAAAACGGGTTAATATTTAATAAAACTGTAGTATTTTTGTTAGATTTTTTATCAATTTAATGCATCCGTGCTGAATAAATGTCTTAATTTCATGAAAAAAAATCTTACTGACCCCAAACTTTTGAACAGTACTGTAATAACCGAGTGTGTGTGTGTTTGGATTTTATTTTATGTATATAACATTATTATTATTTGTTTGTTAATGTTAATGTTAATGTTAGAATTACCATTAAATACACAATGTCTCATTTTTTAAATTAGAAATTTATTTACAAATATTAAGGTGGTAAAATGTAATCTGAAATAGTTTTTTTCTTTCTTAAAAATACAACTAATTGTTAGATCTTGTCTTGTAACTTTAATCAAAAAGTAATAACTTTTACCACATTTCACTATCTAGTCAATTCCAGATGGATGAAATCAAGCCCTACATTTTCTTAATTGTGACCCTGGACCACAAAACCAGTCATAAGGGTCAAGTTCTTGAAATTGAGATTTATACATCATCTGAAAGCTGAATAAATAAGCTCTCAATTGATGTATGGTTTGTTAGGTTAGGACAATATTTGGCCGAGATACAGATTGAAAATCTGGAATTTGAGGGTGCAAAAAAAATCAAAATATTGCGAAAATTGCCTTTAAAGTTGTCCAAATGAAGTTCTTAGCATTGCATATTACTAATCAAAAATTAAGTTTTGATATATTTACGGTAGGAAATTTACAAAATATCTTCATGGAGCATGATCTTTACTTAATATCCCAATGATTTTTGGCATAAAAGAAAAATCGATCATTTTGACACACAGTGTTTTTTTGGCTATTGCTACAAATATACCCCAGCGGTTTTGTGGTCCAGGGTCACAATTGTAGAATACAGATTACATCACATTAAAGAAGTAAAATGGGTTGCAAACTCTATGCAGACTAATATCAGTGTTTATCTGCAGGCATGTGTCGGCTGTGAAGAGGTCAGTGAAACCCTGACAGAGGAGGATCCACCAGATCTGCACATGGGAGAAACAGAAAGCAGTGATGTCACGGTGCCTCCGGCCAATAGCAGTGAAGACTCTACACACTCAGAAACACATGCCTGTCCTGGTCCTGTCACCTGAACTGAACCCCTCTTTCCACCTGTAAGAATACAAACCTCGTCTGATATCAAAGCGGACATTTTAGCATAGAAAAAATGCCTCTGCCGCTGCCACAGACCTTCATGAAGACTCGTTCTGTTGCTTGTTTGTGTGAATGTGTACAGAAGTGTAAATACATGAATGGGTGAGAGAATAAATCAGAGTGAATGAATTATTTCCAGACTGTCTAAACTGTCTTTTAAGCCAGACTGTGCTGTTCAATGACCATTACTGTTAGATTGTAATATTAAGGAATAATATTTCCTTTTCAGTGTTTCCCCGGCAGTTTTTTTTTCCTTAATGTGCCTATACACGGACTAACTTATTTCTTTTTTACAACTTTTTTTTTTTTTTTTAAAGGATAAAACCATTTTATATGCTTTTTTTTTCTTCTAAATAGATGTATAAGCTCTTGTAACAGTTCTTCTGGTGTTTGATAGTTGTGTTGTTGGATATGTTTCTGATATCCTTTCAAATTCACAATTTAACACTGAGGATTTGTAGTTTATGAGCTGAATTATTATTTATTATGGATGCACCGAATGTTCGGCAACCAAAATCATTTGGCCGAAAATAGCAAAAGACGTGACGCGATCAAATGGCAAGCAGCGTAGAGTGAGATTCGCGCACTCTTTATAATGCAGCAAACATGACGGCAGTGTGGAAGCATTTAAAACTGTCTGAGAAAGAGGCAAAAATCATTACAAGCACCGACAGCGAGAGACTGTTTAGTACTGCAGCGCATGTCTTCGATAAGAAGAGAAAGTGGTGCTTGTTGCTGGTTACTGTACACTCTAAAAAATGCTGGGTTAAATACAACCCAGTGCTGGGTAAAATATGGACAAACCCAGCAATTGGGCTGTTTTGACCCAGCGGTTTAGTTACTACCCAGAAGGCTGGGTTAAACATTAAACATAGGTTTGCCCCTATTTTACCCAGCACTGGGTTGTATTTAACCCAGCATTTTTTAGAGTGTATGATGACTGAAATCGCGAAATGGCCTTAAACAATTAGTAAATATACTGCGGAACGCTATGTTTTCTAATACACGCACGAATTGCATGTATTCTGACAGCGCTGCACGAACTCACGGCAGATCTGCTTGGTTCAAAATCCAACACGCGAGGAAAATCTGCGCTGATTATACACTGTAAAAAATGCTGGGTTAAATACAATCCAGAGCTGGGTAAAATCGGGACAAACCCAGCAATTGGGTTGTTTTGACCCAGCGGTTGGGTTACTATCCAGAAGGTTGGGTTAAACATTTAACCCAACCGCTGTGTCAAAACAGCCCAATTGCTGGGTTTGTCCCGATTTTACCCAGCTCTGGATTGTATTTAACCCAGCATTTTTTAGAGTGTTATGTTTGGGATCTGTAATATTTTCTAATGTTTTAAAAGAAGTGTCTTCTCAGCAAGGCTGCTTTTATTTGTACAGTAAAAAATACATGCCTGGTTCAAGAAGGGTTGTCTGATGGCCCAAAAATATTATTTTACTAACTTTTTTAACTTTGTTAAATTGTGCTTTGTTGGTATAATGTCTGCTAGAATGTAAAAAAAAATGTTCAGTGTTAAATATTTGTAAATTGTCCCAGTGTTTCATTTTGTTTGGTTTCGGCTTCAGCCAAGAATTTTCATTTCGGTGCATCCCTATTATTTATTAAACTAGGACGGTTGGAAAGTGCTCTACATCCCTGACACAAACCACGATAACTTGCATCATTTTGCTTTAGCACTTGCAGCTTATTTGATCAGATAGTGAATGTGTTGAGAGCTTGACAATGCATTAGTTACATTAGTAGCATTAGTTTAATTTATGTGAAAAGTATTTCAAGCTGAAGAGCTTAGGTGCTGCTGTCTGATGGTCTGTTGTGATGTAGAACCTCAGTGTTAAATTTCTCCTCTCAGACTGAATCTACTCAGACAGAGGTCTGATCTCACCCATGTCCCTACCTAAACCTGTGTAAACCTGCTGTACGACCACAATTATCATAAATCCCCTGCACAAAAGCACCTGAATACGGACATATGGGCAGATTTCAATACCAGGTTCAAAGGTCTCTATTTTGAAAAGAACTAAAACACTGTTGTGGAGGTCAACTTGGCATTAAGGTTTTAATGTTAAGGAAACAATGTTTAGGCCACGTTGTGAATAAATGTGCTCGCATTCGCTCACTTTCAAACTTGTGAATATATGGTGTTCCTTCATGCTGACGTGTATTTGAATTCAAGTCTATTTTTTAGAAATGACTCTTGTTTATGTATTTTTTCTTGTTATATTTAAAACAGTTTGTGAGGTTGGATAAATTGAACCACTTTTTGGTCAATTATTCAGATCGGCATTTAAATGTCTATGCATAAGTCATACATTAAGTGTACCACTGCATTTCCCCACACATTTACATGTATTATGATCATGATTTATATCATTACGTTTCAAAGAGCGGAATTAAATAGCACTGATCATGTCAATTTTTACATGTGCAAATATTCACAAGAAATTAAGACAATCTTGTATTTTATTTAAAGTTGACTGTCAGACCCATCTGCATATTTTGTTGAAATGTACTACTTTAAATGTCACTAGCAACATGTTTAATCCGAAAGTTCTCTGATGAATCATCTTCATTTTTAAATCGAAATATTGAAATGAAAAATCTTATATGTTTGTTATATCCTCCTGGGACCCCGAGACGTTTGTCCTCTGTAGAGGACATTATATTTTAGTGTATCTCTCTGAGACCATACATGCCACAGTTTTAAGTCTGGATTTCTTGTACAGAGCACGTTCAGGGCTGTTTAGAGATATCAAATGTTTGGTCATAAACGCAAAATATGACTGATATTGACAGAATGATCAAATTTAGCACTCTTAGGGAATTATGATCATGTTTTGTAATTATCATTTAAATCTGGCTAATTTTCAAATTGGTTGGCGTAAATAAACCTCAGAAAAATGTAATGGGGTTTCAAATCGGAATATGACTTTTTGTTGCAAAACGGCATAATTTTCAGACATGTCTTCTGTAGAGGACACCAGGACAAATGGCATGTTAATCAGCCATTTTGAGGGGACACAACAAGTCAATAGGGAAATATGAGATATTCTTATGAAAATGTTGCCAAGTAGGCTATAGTTATTCCCATTATTACACTTCTTTTTTCATTATGGTTTGCCCCAAGAACACATTAATATGCAAATTAGATGCAATGTATAGATACATTTTAGAGAATGGGAATACCAATTTATTACATTTTACACACATATTCCATAAAGTACAGTAGTATATCAAGTTGAGAATCATCTTTGTACAAAGTTTGGCTGAAAATAGCCTGAAACCTTAAAACTGATGGTGAATGAAAAAATAAAACATTGCAATGTTTTTGCCTATTCGTGCATTTTCATGTCTATTTATTTATTATTATTTTTGTATAATATTCCTGGCGTCCTTTAGGACAGTGAATCTCAACCTTTTGGCGTACCGGACCCCAGTCCAATTCAGAACCATCCTCAAGGACCCCCAGAACAAAATTGACTCATCTATGTATCCTTGGTGTCTTTGTGAGGACCAAATGCAGTCAACTATAATTCAAGTTAGTTGACTTGTCCAGTATTTGGCCATATCATCATCAGCTATATTGGATTTTTCTTTCATGGGAACAAGTCATGTCAAAATATACAACATTTATACAAAAATTCATACTTTATACGGACCCCCTGGCCTTACGTCAAGGACCACTAGGGGTCCACGGACCCCTGGTTGAGAAACACTGCTCTAGGACATAGAATAAAATATTAATAAAATATATTTTTTCATTAGTACGTTATACTTTTGTCTCTTAAATAGCCAAAGATGCTAGTATGGCAATAAAAACAAACAAACTAAATAAATAGTTGACTATGAAAAGAAAAAAAACGAACCTGAGGACAAATATAACCAATACAAATCAAAAAGAACAAAAGATTTACTTTTTTTTGTAGCCTATACAATTCCTTTGCGTTTTAGTGTAGCCTACAACACAGTCCTTCCCAAATGGACCGTTGGTTGGAACAGAGGGGCCCTTTCTGCGCCATATGTTCAAAGTCAGACGACAGTTACAGCCGTTTTTATTTTTATTGTCATTATTATTATACAGCGCACATCCGACGCACAGCTTCCTTCATGTGGTCAGACTCCACTCGCCGCGCGCCCAGGGGTTTGTGTCTCCACACATGAAAGCCGCGCTAGTTCCTCTCTTTCACACCTGCGCCCATTTAAGTGCAAGGTGTGAATGGCTCTTTCAGGCCTCCTACCAAGACAACAAACTTCAATCACCGAAAAGCCGCTCCTGATCCGATGAAAGCAGTGCTAATAGTCTGTAACCTGTCATCAGTCTGCGAGCCTAAGTGTGGATTTAAAAGAGTTAATACGTGCTCTGGTTGTGGAAAACTGATGATTTATATAAACTAAGACACTGAACGTGTCTTAAAACTAGCGGTTATCCAAACTCAGTCTGGATTCTTTAATTAGACGTGATTCAGTGTTTTCTGTCAGCCGCAGTCATTTGCGGTTTGGTCGCGCTAGCCTAACCTTCAACTAGCCCATTTAAAATTAAACCTCCAAATGGTTTTGTGGTAGGAAGATATGTTTGCAATTTTAAAACTAATGTGCTCCTTTTGGTCGACGTCTAATTCAAAAAGAGAAACCGCGCGAAAACCTACAAACTTGGTCTAACTGTTGTAGCCTGAGTCTTTTGTTAGTGCGCTAATTATATGGACTTTTCTCATGTATTTTTTTCTATGATCAGCTGAAAAGTCGTTACAATATTAATCGGTCAAACGTTAAGGAAACGTCCGTGAGCGACGTTAACGGATTTACAGGCCTATAAACAGTGTTGGGGGTAACGCATTACAAGTTACGTAATCAGATTACTTTTTTCAAGTAACTAGTAAAGTAACACATTACTTTTTCATTTACAAGAGAGCATCTGAGTTACTTTTTCAAGTAAGTAACGCAAGTTACTGTTTTTCCAATTTATTTACTGACAGCTCTCCTGTCCCCATGTTGAGAAATCAGATGTTATTGTAGTTCTAAATAAATATGAATATGCATGAATTCATCTCACTCACACACACAAAAAACACAGATTCAGTATTCCTCAAAATGAATAAAAATAATGCAACTCAGAATATGACGCAAACCTGCAATAATTAAATGTTAAACAACACAAATATGCTTTATGTATTTAATCCCATTCTATTAACCAATGTCTTTGCTTCTGACCTTCGATGATCCAGTTCAACTGTACTAATAAGCACAAATGACTCTAGACAAACATTTGTGTGTCTTTTTTTATTGCTCAAGTGTGTTGAAATTTCTTCTTCTGCATTCTACGGACGTAACTGTACTTTCCCTTCAGCCTGAGGCGCATTCATTTCACTTTTGGTGTGAAAAGGCTTTTATATTTGCCAAAAATATAGCTTTTTATTTTAAAAACAAACAAGCAAGCCCTGTCCAGATTTTAAAAGTAACGCAAAAGTAACGTAACGCATTACTTTTTTTAATAAAAAGTAACTAAGTACCGTAATTAGTTCCTTTTTAGTGGAGTAACGCAATATTGTAACGCATTACTTTTAAAAGTAACTTTCCCCAACACTGCCTATAACGTGGTTGCAGGTTCTATGATTTGCCCCTTACAAAAAAATAGGCCTACCATTACAAGCGTGTCCGCTAATTATTAAATAAATATAATCTACAAACTATATATAAATATAATCTATAAATCTATTTAGATGACAGACTTGACCAGTAACACGTATCTGCAGCACATGTTAAAGTGTTATAATCGTCAATGAGGTGTTACTTTTTACGTCTGAAGGGTCAAAACACCCAAAGCGGACATTCACACTTACTGTGTGTGAAGGTGTGATAAAGCACGTTACATACTCTGTTTATTAGCTACATCAAAGCAATAGCATCTGCCTAAAAACTGCATAACATCTGCTCTTCGTCAATTCCTGCGAAAAGCCTCAAATTCGCGTTACCTTAACTTAGATTTAAAGAGGACACCACATGAAACTCTTCACAGTGAGGAAATCTAAATGTTTTATTGAAATCACAATCACATATAAACCACTGAATGTCATTACATCTAACATTTACATTTATTTCAAAATGACTTCTTCATAATGACAACGTACATCTTTTTTGATAAGTCAAGAGATTTATAAGCTATCACGACATTGAAATATTTACATCCTACAATAATTAAGAGATGGGAAAACACTCCCTAGAAATATTATTTATCCTTACAGTGTTGCTTAACTTGGCTTATACAAAATTAAATAAAAATACGAACTTTTTTTGTGTAAAACTGGACTGAAATGCACATTGTTGCACCAAGAAGAGCTTCTGAGGGGTAACGTATCCACAGGTCGACGACAAAAAACGTTGCAGCTGCCCTATTCCTATGTAGAACTGTCCGTGGTCTTATCATAAAGGTGCTCCTGGACTATTGCATGTTTTAATAGCTCTAAACTAAAAAGATACTGTTCATGAATCAACTGGGATCTCCAGAAGCATCTGTCTACCAAGGTCTCCACATGGACTTGGAGAGATGCACGGTTGGCACGCTTGGCGCTTGCTCCCTGGCGTCCACCGAGACTCGGCTGTGCTCCGTGTCCGTGTCATCCAGGTCAGAGCAAAGGTCGTCGCTGGAGGTGGTGGAGGGGGCCGGGGACAAGGCTGAGGAGCCGCTGGTGACCACGCTCCTGTCTCCGGGCGACAACGCAGCGTATGTCGCCTCGCCAGGCCAAGTGCCACAGTTACTAGAGTCCGGCACGAGATCTGACAGGGTGTCCTGAAAGCGATCCTCGTCGTTCAGAGGCATGCACTCCAGGAGGTGGTTCAGCAGGTCGGCGGCGATGCTCGCGTCGATTCCCGGACAGCCGGACACGAAGGTGTGCACCTCATGCATGCACTGGATGTATCCCGCGGCGAAGCGCTCGTTAGCTTCGCGGTTCACGCTGTCAGCTTCTGCGGAGGAGAAAAGCGGTGTGACATCACGACCCAAATACATAGGCTACGACTTGCAAGCAAGCCTGTATGTAGCTAATAATGTTAATTTGATCGTGTGAATATGTAATACCTCATGTTCTTGTGACATTGAATTAATAAAGCGTTAAAAAAAAGCAAGCCTGTATGAAACTTGATAACAGCTCCTTACCCTTCTCTTTGTTTTGCAGGATACTTTCCACGCGCTTCACGGTCATTTCCAACACCTCTGCATTCTCCATTTTTACCTGCGCCTAAAATAAACCAATGAGTAAATAACGACGTTAAGGCTCTCTTTGCGCTGTATGTTGGTGTGGGATACAGATGCATGAAGTGATGAATAAACTTACATCCGGGTCGGCTAGCAGTAGCCTCAGCTCCTGTAAACTTTCATTGATGCGGGCGCGTCTCTTTTTCTCCACCAGCGGCTTCCTCGTCTGAAGAGGGAGAGAGAAATGCGTTTAACTTGTGGAAAACGTCGATATATTTGTTTTTGCGATTAAAAAGGCGCGTTGCGTATACCTTTCTGTCTTTTATTCCGTAAAGATCCTCCTCTTGTCTGTTACTGCGGGACGCAGGGGCCATATTGCTGCAGTAAAGAGACCGCTGAGAGGACGCCTGAATGGAGGGCAGATGGTTGGCGGGTTCAATTCGAGACAAAAGTCTGTGCTAACAAGCACTACATATACTGTGCAAAGTGGGCGACTGAAGGGGGACATTTATGAGGTCTGATTTACATGTGAATGAACTGACTGGTAACCAATCAACAGCCTTGCCTTTGTGCACTGTAAACCAACCCGCCCTGTGAACCTGTAGATGGACCAGAGGACGGTTTAGTGAATAAAATTAAGTAGCCTACAATTACACTATAGGCTACATAGGTAGATAGATAGATAGAACAGACAATGTCATACTACATAAGTCAATAAGTTAGATAGATAGATAGATAGATAGATAGATAGATAGATGATAGATAGAAAGATAGATGATAGATAGATAGATAGATAGATAGATAGATAGATAGATAGATAGAAAACAATATCCTGACATTAAACTGAGAACAAAGTGATAAAACTTCAATTGCATAGTTTTTCAGCTCAATTTTCTTCAAATTAATGTCAAAGTGTCATGAAGAAATGCCAATGATCTCACTCAATTTATTCATATATTTTTAATTTAAAAATCCAAAAGATGTAAGTTTTCGAGTTTAGAGGGTTGAGACCATAGACTGTATAAAACAGGTTGAAACTTGATGTTATCCTGACTGTAGTCAGAACTAAACTCTTCTCAGAGACGTGGAATGGGAAGTGACTGTGAAGACAATGAGGAAACTTCATCCATATAGATGGTATTTATAATCAACACAAGCAAATTAAAGCAATTTTTCAAGTATTTCTCTCAAGAAACTTAATCGGTCACCTATATTGAGACTGACAGATGTTTGTGAGCAATATAAACCGACTTACAACTGCTTGCCTGGACCCTCGATAAGAGGGGGGTGGAAATAAAAAAATAAATAGCAAAGACATAATCTGAATGGCTAGCAACCAGAGACTGGTAGTTTTTATGCATTACATAATAATATAATAATTTCCCCATCATCAGTGCTTTGTTATGAGGCCATCTGTGAAAGAACATCTGAATGTAATGCAAGACATATGAAAAGGCACGCATAGTGTAGCCTACTGCTGAAATGTAACATCCATGTACGACTTCTGAAAACTAAACTCTAAGTCAAAAGTCATTTTTACACTCATAATATTTGTTAATTCTCCATATTTACGTCAGATAACGAATCGCATTGTTTAGTGAATAAAAGAAAGCAAATGAGTTACATTTATTTTATTACAGTTATTGAATATAGGCTATTTAGCCTAGCTAATAGCCTATGATATATTATATTGGTTGCCATATATACACTTTTGTCTAATTCATTCGTTAAGTAAAAAAAAAAAAGAGTAAAGTCTCAGCAGAATTGAAGGTCACTAAACGTTTAAATCTACAGTGCTATGATAAAACATGAAATTCAAAATTATTTTCTGTTTCAATAACCCAAAAAAAACTGATTATGCTTCATTTGCGTTGTTTGTGGATTATAATTCATAGATTATAACCTGCATCAGAGCCATAAAAAGCATTAATCAGTGTCAGGTTATTTATTGACTTCCGGCAGTCTGATGCAAATCAGAACGCGTAGTAGAGCACCGTAAACGGCTAAAATAGAACCGGAATGCACGTCCATTTGTGGGAGAGAAAAAAATCCACAATAAAAGTCCAAGAAGGGTCCAGGCGGAGATGAATGGCTGATTTAGAAAAATCCCGTGGGATATATTTTTTTATTATTCCAACTTAGTACAATTGAAAAATGATTTTAAATCAGTGCAAGTTATTAAATTGTATATTTTCTGTTAATGTGCGATCACATCCATGGCGAGATCATCTTTTGATATATCATTCAAGGTTATTAATTTGACAAATGATCTTGGCACATTAAGATTTCTCACTGTCAGTGTTATGCAAAATATCATTAGACTAGATTTATAGCTTAACTATGCACCAATAATGAAATGTACATCAATGCGTAGTAATGCAAAACATAATCATTTGAATCTTTAAATTGCATCACTGATACCGTGTTAAAGAGTTACATTTATTATGCAGGATGGTTTTTCTTGAACATGTTAAGCAAAATAGGAATTGTGTAGGATATACTAAAATTCTGTATATTAAAAATTGCAAAATTTGATCTCAGGAAAAATCTTACGGGAATGGATGTATAGATGGATGGATTATTCTTGTGCTGATTTAAAAGTGCTTTCCCCCGAATAATTATTATTTATGGTTGCATTTAGAGTAAGAATAAAGCGTTGTCATTTTGTCCTTTGGAACATAATTCGAATCTGAACGGGTTAATAGACGAGACCTTTTTTATTGTCAAAATTGTAAGTGATGCTAATTTTAGAAAGCAGACGCCGATTGGTGGACTCTTACTTTGCAGTGTACCGGAAGCGAGGGAATCCTCTTTAAGTTCGCCCGCCCTCTGTCGAGTGCTTCACTCACAGCTCAGAAGCGTCCTTAGTGGTACAATCACTACTGGACGTCCTAACCGCAGAAAACTAGGAAGAAGCGTCAAAATGGTGAAGATATCTTTTCAGCAAGTAACTGCACAGAAGCCGGAAAAGGAGAACGATGGAGACAAAGAGGAAATTCACATGCCGTACTCTCAGGTGACTTATAGCTTTTAAATACCCGTTATTGTCTATTGTTTTGTTGGCTGCTGTGAAACCGTCCTTTGTTTTGTCTCGGTCCTCCAGGCAAAAAGAAATCAAAAATGTAAAAAAGCAAATATATATATTTTTATTTGAATTCATATTTATGTTTAACGTCTGCTTGAGAAAAAACAACATTTTAATAATTGGACTTATTTAATAAGTGCTATTATGTCTCTAAACTAATTAGGCGATTAATAGACAAAAGTGAAATGTATATCTGAATATAATATTATTTTAATATATAATATTACTTCAAACATGCACAAGCAAGCATTCCAAAGTGAATAATATTTAATGGAATAACAACAATAATAATCATTATTGTTATTCTATTAAGTATTATTCACTTTGGAATGCTTGCTTGTGCATGTTTGAAGTAAAACAAATAATGTATAAACGGATTGCGCATTATAGATGTGAAGCAGTGTTGAGATTCACAGGAAAACATCCGCTCATCTGTCTGAGTGTTGGAATTGACAGAAAAAATTATGCTGTGACAGCAGATCTCTTCATTTTCTTATTTCTGTGAATGCATCAGTTTGTCTTTATTTGCTTGTTACAGAATGATGAATATCAGATGGGGGGGTAGTGCCTTCACAAAATGGATGCCTGATGGATCTTTTGGTTTTTTTTTGTTTTAGTGTTGTAATCCGCTCTGAGGAATATGATGCAGACAGCAGATTGAATAATTTTCTCATTTCTGAGAATGCATCGGTTTATAGCCGTTGGAAGCTGTTGAAGTGCATCAGAGCTTTAGGATTTTAAGTAAAAAAAAGCTTAATAAAGTCCATTTATTAGAATTCAACTGGGAGTATCTGAAATCTACAAGCGTTAGAATCAGTGTTGGGGAAAGTTACTTTTAAAAGTAATGTGTTACTCCATAAAATAGTAACTAATTACATTACTTGGTTACGTTTTATGGAAAGTAATGCGTTACGTTACTTTTTAAATCTGGACAGGGGTTGCTTGTTTGTTTTTAAAATAAAAAAGTTATATTTTTGGCAAATATAAAAGCCTTTCACACCAAAAGTGAAATGATTAAGCCTCAGGCTGAAGGGAAAGTAAATTTACATCCGTACAGTAGAATGCAGAAGAAGAAATTTCAACACACTTGAGCAATAAAAAAGACACACAAATGTTTGTCTAGAGTAATTGTGCTTATTAGTACAGTTGAACTGCATCATCGAAGGCCAGAAGCAAAGACATCGGTTAATAGAACGGGATTAAATACATAAAGCATATTTGTGTTGTTTAACATTTAATTATTGCAGGTTTGCGTCATATTCGGAGTTGCATTATTTTTATTAATTTTGAGGAATACTGAATCTGTGTTTTTTGTGAGTGAGATGAATTAATGCATATTTTTTTAGAACTATAACATCTTCTGATTTCTGTCACCAGAGCTGGAAAAAAAAGTAACTTGCGTTACTTCTTTGAAAAAGTAACTCGATATTCTCTTGTAAATTAAAAAGTAATGCGTTACTTTACTAGTTACTTGAAAAAAGTAATCTGATTACGTAACTCGCGTTACTTGTAATGCGTTACCCCCAACACTGGTTATAATGTAGGACATTTGTGGGCGACTCAGAACGTTCCCTTCTCTAGTGCGTCACATTTTTAATTCAACTTCACGTGCCTGCATTCATCTTCCCTACTAGAGTGAAAATGATGTGGATTCATCTAATCTGATACTAGTGCTGTTATTTTCAGCCTGATTCCCACACACTGTCTCCTACCCGCTGCTACTGTGTGTCCTCTCTACGTAGAAAGGAACTCCTGTACAAATAAGGAGAGTGGAAGTACAGTACATGTCTAAAAATATCACTCTGCCAGGCGGAGATAGTAGCTCTGTCACTCAGCAAGTCTGTTTGATTCACGATGATCCAGAGCCTGCGTGGGCCGATCCGAGCTGGTGTCCTCGGCACCAGCGTCTCTGAGAGACTGGAGGCGGATGGATTGCTCACGCCACCTGACGTCTTGAGACGCTGCCGTGACTCATTTCTTGGCGCAGTTGGGTGCTGAAAGTAATGCACTGCAAAAAATGAGTTTCTTGCCTAGTATTTTTGTCTTGTTTCTCATTATACATATCTCCAACAAATTCAAATGAAGATATATTAACTTGAAAAGGAAAATGGCTTAGATAGTAAGTCTTGTTTTCTGAAATGAAGTTAATTTATGCTTCAAAGAAATAAAATATGTACGAATTTTCTTAGTGTTTTTGTTACACATAACTAAAAATGATTAAATCACTGTGCTTTTTCTTAAGAAAGAAAATGACTTGATTTCTGGGAAATGTGTCCAAAATCATGCTTAAAACAAGAACAAATATTTGTTAATGGGTTATGAAAAATCACATTCTTTTCTCTTGATTTATGAATGTTTAGATATTTATTTTTTATTTTTTTGCAATGATTTGTGCCAGCTTGCTGATACAGATTTCCGAATGAAAAAATTGATATGTAGATCATCATCACTAAGTGTTATCAATGCCCATCATTTTGAAATTAAAAGGATAGTCCACCCAAAAATGAAAAATAATGTCAGTCCAAACATGTATGCAAGTTTTTTTTTTTTTTTTTTCTTCTGTGGAGCACAAAAGGAGATATTTTGAAGAATGTTGTGAACCAAGCAGTTTCGGGTCCCACTGATGTCCAAAATATTTTTTATTTTTTTTGTCAATACAATGTAAATCAATGGGACCTGAAATGATTTGGTTACCAACTTTATTTAAAATATAGTTTTTTGTATGTGTGTTCCACAGGGGGGGAAAAAGCCATACAGGTTTGGAACAACAAATGAAGGAGAGAAAATGTTGACACAATTGTGACCTTGGACCACAAAACCAGTCACTGTGGTATATTTGTAGCAATAGCCAAAAATACATTGTATAGGTCAAAATGATAGATTTTTCTTTTATGCCAAAAATCATTGTGATATTAAGTAAAGATCATGTTCCATGAAGATATTTTGTACATTTCCTACCGTAAATATATTAAAACTTATTTTTTAATTAGTAATATGCGTTGCTAAGAACTTCATTTGGACAACTTTAAAGGAGATTTTCTCAATATTTAGATTTTTTTGCACCCTCATATTCCAGATTTTCAAATAGCTGTATCTCGACCAAATATTGTTATTGTGGAAAGCTTATTTATTCAGCGTTCAGATGATGTATAAATCTCAATTTTGAAAAATTGACCCCATGACTGGTTTTGTGGTCCAGGGTCACAATTTTCATTTTTGCTTAGACTCTCCCTTTAAATATTCAGTAAACATGCAGCATTTGTCAAATGAGAATCAGTCCAGCCAGTGAAAACTATCCCAAGTGCTGTGAATTCACAAAACTAATTGAAGTTGTTTTGTTTCCCAGCAGGATGAGTTGGTGCTCCCGGTTAGATCTAAGAAGTCTTCCTTTAGTGGCCTTTGGTGCGTCGTGCCTGGCTTGGTGATCTTCCTGTCAGGCTTGATCCTGGCGTCTGTATGCCTGTACCGCTACTACTTCAGCCCCCAGGTGAGACGCTAGACGTCATTGGATCTGTTAATCATCTTTTATTCACAAGCAAGCTTATTAAAGTTCATTGCCATAGCGATCACCATAGCAACACCTTGCTGGATCTTTTACTCACTAAACAAGTTCAAGTGCCCTCTTTTGAAGCCCTCTGCTTTCTTTCTCCAGATCCCAGAGGACAGTTTGTTCCACTGTCGGGTGATGTATGAGGACCCCCTGTTCGCCCCATTACTCGGAAGGCAGGAGCTAGAGGAGAACGTCGGTATCTACCTGGATGACAACTATGAGCAGATCAGCGTGCCTGTGCCCGACTTTGGAAGCAGTGACCCAGCTGACATCATTCACGACTTTCACAGGGTGAGGATCTTTCCTAGAAGCACTTGAAGTGAAGTTCTGAACATTTAGCTCTGGTACAGTTTCTTCTAGTTCTCTGGCAGCACAAAAGCTGGTGTTAGTCATCACGGCTCCCCCAGATGGACTGTGAACCATTTCTAAGGAAACCTTTTGTCTGCTGAAATCATTGTTTAATATTCAGCGCAATGTGCCAGGCACAGGAGTACATGCAAATGTTTCTGTGAAAGCCACATTTCCAAGTTCTCCAGACGCTGTAAATCCATGAGAATGTCAGTCTGGTAAAAAGCAGAACATTGTGTTCTTCCAGCTCCATTTATTTGAGCAAAAGTGCATTAGAAACAGTAATATTGTGAAATATTATTACAATTTAATTACGTTAAGACTTGTTTTCTATGTGACCATATTTTAAAATGTAATTTATTCCTGTGATGCAAAGCTGAATTTTCAGCATCATTACTCCAGTCTTCAGTGTCACATGATCCTTCAGAAATCATTCTAATTTGCTGCTCAAGAAATATTTCTTATTATTATCCATGTTAAAACCGTTGTTTCTTAATGTTTCTATAGAAACCCTGATATATGTTTTCATAGGTGCATAGACAATTCAAAAGAACAACATTTATTTGAAATAGAAATCTTTTGTAACAATATAAATCTTGCTACTGTCACTTTTTTGATCCGTTTAATGCGTCCTTGCTGAGAAAAAGTATTAAACTTTTCAACAGTGGTGAATGTATTGGAACTTCAACATATCTCTCAAATCATTTTTTTTATTTGATTCTGGAGTCGTTATTAACGGAGGTGTTGTCGTTTCTCGTTAACACAGGGACTCACAGCTTACTACGACATTGCGTTGGATAAGTGTTACGTTATTGAGCTCAACACGACAATCGTCATGCCGCCCAGGAGCCTGTGGGAGCTGCTTGTCAATGTCAAGGTAACCGATTGCATAAAGTGTTATGTAACACTCGAACAAAAGGTCTCAGTTTGTGAGTCACAAGTTTGATGTGAAGCCTTTATTTCTGAAATATTACAAGTATTTCATGAATGATTTCTGAAGGTAAAACTGTACCTTCAGAAATCAGTTGTTTAAAAAAAAAAAAAAAAAAACTTAAATTTTAACCCGCAAGGACAAAGTTACCATGATCATGGAAAACCTGGAAATATCAGAGAACGTTTAGGATAATGATAAAGTCATGGAAACTAACTTATAAAGATTTTAGTATATGATAATTATTTATTTTTAGTTTGCAATTTAAATTATTTAGTATATAAAAATGTAGTATCTTAAATTTAGTGTAGAATAAAAAAAAAATGTATATATATATATTTTTTTTTAACTTCCTCCAGTTCCGAAACATTTTATTCTAGAAAAGTTATTTACAAAGTTATTATTAATTTTAATTAATTCAATACAAAAATCAAAGGAAAAAAGTCCATTCATGCAAACCCTAAAAGGAATTTGTCACTTCCCTAGCGGAGGCGACACACATATTTCTAATCCGTTTGATTCATCATAGCCAGTGTGTCAGTGTTGATGGAATGAAGCTCATAGCCCCATGTGACCGTTTGTATGCATTTGTGTATTTTGACAGCGGGGGATGTATTTGCCCCAGACCTACATCATTCAGGAAGAGATGGTGGTGACGGGGCGCGTTAGGAACATGCGTCAGCTGGGACCCTTCATCCACCGGCTCTGTTATGGAAAAGAAACCTACAGACTGAGACGCCGTAGCAGCCAAAAACGTGAGTTTCTTGACATCTTGATTTATTATTGGTGTTTGCCAAGTCAAACATCACTATGAATATTATTATTACAAAAGATTGAAATAAATAAGATTTTTTTATGTTTTTGAAAGAAGACTCTTATGCTCACCAAGGCTAGAAACTGTGATACTGGTTGTTGTTGTTTTTTGATTCTTTGATGAATTAGAAATTCAAAGAACAGTATTTATTTGAAATCTTTTGTAACATTATAAATGTCACTTTTATATGACTTTTAATCCATTTAAAACGTTCTTGCTGAATAGAAGTATTAACATTTTTCAATAGTAGTTTATCAGTTTTCACAAGAATATGAAGCAGCACAGCTGTTTTCAACATTGAAGATGATAAGAAATGTTTCTTGAGCAGCAAATCAGAATTAGAATGATTTCTGAAGGGACACTGAAGATTGGAGTAATGATAGTGAAAATTCATTACAGGGATATGTAACATTTTAAAATATATTCAAACAGAAAACGATTATTTTAAACAGTAGAGAACATGTAATAGTCACTTTTTTTTTTACATGTTATTTATTACTGGAACCTGCACACACAGATGTATCTGTGGTTGTCTGGCAGCTCCTGTTCCTGTTTTTTTTTTTTTCTTCTAATTTCTATCCACCCAGTTATCTTGCGTAAATCAGACACAATAACTATTGCTGATAGCACAACGTCTTCCTCTTTTTATGAGTCCGACTGCTTTAATCTAATGTTAAACGTTGCATTCAGATTGATCTGGGCATGTGCTGTGTGCTTTCAGTTTTTTTGCTCATGGCACGTTGAAACCGATCTTCATTCTGATTAATGCGTGCCCACGTAGGTGTGTAAGCGTGACTCACGATTGTAGAGTACACGGAGCATCTCTAGTTAGGAAACCACGCAGAGGGGGATGTGATGCACGTCAGGCACTGATGCATTGTGGGAGTTGCCGTTTATATCAGAGGGCATCTCTCTGTGGTGTGATGCAGAGGCTGAGGTGTGGGAAGTGATGCGGCGTGGGAGCTGTAATTTGGCTCCTTAAGGACTTCCTCACAATCATCCGTGCGCAGATGGTGTCTGAAGCCACAGGAAATAGAACTTGACTTGCAACATTTGCGCCACACCAAGAGTGTGACCACTGAGTTCAACTTCTCAAAAATTTATTTTTCACTTATGCCGGGTTCAGACTTCACAATATTTTTGTCGGTCATGATAGTCACTGTGTCAGATTTCACGATTTTGACTCCTAAAATCTTGTGTCGTGGACAAGAAACATGTCAGACTACACGTTGCTTCCCGACCATTCATCGCGTGTCGTCTTTAACCGGTTGTCGTCCACTATGACACACTACACGTGCTGAAACGATGGAATCTTGCGTCCCGGCGCCCATTGTCGTTTACGAATCCCCACGCCACCCTACGTCAAGAAAATCAAGAAAATGGGGCTAAAGTCGTGTAGTCTGAACCGGGGGCATTAGAGAACGTATGACCCAAACAACCAACTGCGAGATAAATCAAGCTTTAAAACATTTTTAGTTTGAAACTAAAAAATATTTGTAAATTAGAAATAAAAAGACAAGGCATTAAATGGGTTGCTAGTTATGTAGTCGGGTAACATTACCTAGTTAAATTGTAGAAACTCACTCTATTCAAAAGCTTGGGGTCAATGTGATTTTTATTTTATTTGCTCAAAGAAATCAACACTTATTCAACAAGGATGCATTCAATTGATAAAAAATGACGGTAAAGACATATTATAATGTTGCAAACAATTTCTATTTCAAATAAATGCTATTCTTTAGAACTTTCTATTCATCAAATAATCTTATATCAAATGTATTACATTTTCCACTAATATATTAAGCAGCACAACTGCTTTTAACATTGATAATAATAAAACTCTTTCCAAATCCGCATATTAGAATTATTTCTGAAGGATTATGTGACAATGAAGACTGGAGTAATGGTGCTGAAAATGTAGCTTTTTCAGGAATAAATTAAATTAGAATTTTAAAATATATTACAATAGAAAACCGTTCTCAGTATTTCACAATATTACTGATTTTACTGTATTTTTGATTAAATAAATACAGACTTGGTCCACATAAGACGCTTCTAAAACATAAAAAATATAATTTTACTGACCCCGCACTTTTGAATGCTAGTTTAAAATCCTTCCTGAACTAGAAAATCTGTAACTACGATGTTGAACACGTGAAATCGACATTAGTATGTCCATGCAACAATTATGCAATACAGTACATGCAACACAGTGCTATATCATTTCAGGAATAAATTAAATTAGAATTTTTAAATATATTACAATAGAAAACCGTTCTCAGTATTTCACAATATTACTGATTTTACTGTATTTTTGATTAAATAAATACAGACTTGGTCCACATAAGACGCTTCTAAAACATAAAAAATATAATTTTACTGACCCCGCACTTTTGAATGCTAGTTTAAAATCCTTCCTGAACTAGGCAGCACAAAAATCTGTAACTACGATGTTGAACACGTGAAATCGACATTAGTATGTCCATGCAACAATTATGCAATACAGTACATGCAACACAGTGCTATATCGAAATGAGCATCCTTGTTTAACCCAACTCGAATCTGTTTCTTCCTCAGGCATCGAGAAGAGGGAGACCAGAAACTGCCACAGCATCCGGCACTTCGAGAACACGTTCGTCGTAGAGACGAAGATTTGTGACAGACTCCTGCTGTAGTTTCCTTCCCTTCTCAACTCTACTGAGCAAAACCCAAAACTGACCCGTCCCCATCTGTCCAGCTTAACAGCACTTTATCAGCATGATATACCTGTACATAATGTTAGATAATGCCATATCTGTGTTTTCTTGGTTTGGTTTTTCCAAGAATAAACTGTAATGACTTTTTTCATTCCAAACTGTATGTGGGGTTTTTTTCTTTCTTTTTTTGTCTTTGTCTAAATTAGATTTTGATTTGCATATTCTGAAGCACATCGTCTAGTTTGTTTTTTTTCAGTGGGGACGTTTCCTCAAATATAACTGTTGTGACAGACTCCTGCTGTAGTTTCCTTCCCTTCTCAACTCTACTGAGCAAAACCCAAAACTGACCCGTCCCCATCTGTCCAGCTTAACAGCACTTTATCAGCATGATATACCTGTACATAATGTTAGATAATGCCATATCTGTGTTTTCTTGGTTTGGTTTTTCCAAGAATAAACTGTAATGACTTTTTTCATTCCAAACTGTATGTGGGGGTTTTTTTCCTTTCTTTTTTTGTCTTTGTCTAAATTAGATTTTGATTTGCATATTCTGAAGCACATCGTCTAGTTTGTTTTTTTTCAGTGGGGACGTTTCCTCAAATATAACTTTGAGATTATTCTCAGACGTCTGGCATGCACTGATGAATGATTTGCGTAAAGCCTCGGTTTGTGTAGACTGATGGTTATTTTAGTGTGTGTCATTTGTTCAAAAATGTTGTTCATTTCTTTCTGTGTTGGCTAAGAAATCCAGTATTAGAAAATTGTCTTCAATGCCAAAAGATGTATACCTCATATTTTAGAAATGTATGACTTTAAGCCTGTTAGTGTGAGTTTTTGAACGTGATATAAGCAATATAAGTTTTCTTATCTTGGATTTCCTAACTTTACATCCATTTCTTTGTAGTAATGTTGGTCATCGGAGCAGTTTATCATGTTCAAATACTCTGTGTGTTGCTCTTTAATACATGTGAATAAAGTTTGTAGAAAAATGTGAAAAACTAGCCACCGGATGTTGGTTTGAAATGTTTCAAATGCAGTATGTCTATACTGATAAGAATGGGCTGTTCTTTAAGTTAAAGGTGAGTTTTCTTAGGCACAGATGTGCAGAAATCTCTTCCTTGCTTTTCCTATTCCTTTTTTTTTAATGTACGGTCCATCCATGAATAATGGTAGATCTTTCGACCTCATCTGAGGTGGAATCATTTCATATTGCTTGCACTTTTTCCTAATTGTACCATTTAAATGTATTTGTTCATCTTCCACATACTGGTGTAGCAACAACTGGTTTTGTCTGGAATAAATGAGGCATTTGATTTGATGCACTCTATTCTGCAGCTTTGTAAATGATAATTGCTTGTAAAAATCCATCAATAAACCGCTGAAACCCTACTCTCGCTCTGTTGATAATTACAAATACAGTATGTGATTGCATGCAAGAGACCTTTCAGCACACTTGGCCCACAAACCACAACATGAAAAACATCCCTCATGTGAAGCAACAGGAGAGGGTGTGGACTTGAATGCTGTCGATGCAAAATTTTTACTTCCTTATGCCAGCCTGTAAGCTTTGTGCAACCATGTGAACTGTTTCTCATTTTTTCACACCTCAGTTGAAGTCAAATGAATTGTCATTATGCAGATCTTATCTGAGAAGAGAACATTGTTTTATTGTTTTATTTCTACCAACATAATGCATGACACAAAAGTAAAAGTGCAGACATATTACTACGCAGAACTTAAGTGCAATCTTGGGGAAATAAAGATGCAGTTCAAAAGTATTCCTCAATGACACAAAAACACAGAAAAAAGACAAAACCGAACAGGTTTTCAATGGTAATGCTGGTAGAAATGCAGCTAATGTGGCAAAACATTGCAACACATCCAGAGGGGCCAAAATTATTCACAGTAGCTACTGCCCTTGGTTCACAGTGATAAGCAAATATACACAGCTTATTTGATGATTTGCAATGATGCAAGTTTTGCAGAACAATTGAAAGTATATCACATTGGCACATAATAATGAAGCACACTGGCTCAACGTTTGGTGTCTTGTTCCCTTTTCACCCACTTTAGGACGCCCGAGATGGGTGAACAGAGTTGCATGTGATGCACATGAGCAGAGATGTGCAATTCTCTCTTGCGTGAGTCAGCTTTTGGTTGAAGACTTTGGGTTTTTTTACATAACCATTTCCTTTCAGACTAAGAACTTGTTTACCTCAACAACATAAGCAATTATGATGGTTTGTTGCTTTACTGTCCGTTCCAACTCATGCTCTGAACCAGGCCGAGCCCAACGGTTCTGGATGAAGAATCACATCTGGTTCTGCCTTTAATAGTCTTTGTGCTGAAATAGTAGATCAAGGGGTCCAGACAGCTGTTTGTGCTGGCCATGCACATGGTAACAGTATGTAGGTTAAAGTAAACTTCAAGAGAATTGTCTCCATGCAAGTAATCATGTTTGCTCAGGCCGAAGAGGATAAAAGCAATGTGAAATGGGATGAAACAAATGGCATAGATGAGCAAGTTAGACAGAAAGAGCTTTACAATCTTGCTTTTGCTCAGCTCGGTGTTGCACGAGGAAGTCGCCATGCTGTAACCTTTCAGCTGCCGCACGACTGACACCGTACAGCCCAAAATAATGCAGAAAGGTACTAAAATTCCAAAGAAAGTGGTAAAGCAGAGGATTATGAAACCATTATACCAATTCCTTTCAGAGTATTTCTCAAAACAGCGTGTAACGTTACAGGCGTTGTCCTTGTTTTCAGGGTGGTTTAAGGCTGTTGGCACTGCCAATCCAGCGATGATCAGCCACACCATCACACAAAGCACCCAGGCTATCGGTACTGTCCGCAGTTGTCTCGATCGCAGTGGATACACCACGGCCAGCATCCGGTCCACGCTGATGAGCGTGATGAACAAGGAGCTGGAGTAGATGTTGACGGCGAAGAGGGTCCCTGGAATCATGCATAGAGCATTTCCCAGCTTCCATTCACCTGTAGCGAAGTAGATGATCCGAAAGGGCAGGGAAAGTGTGAAAAGAAGGTCCGATAATGCCAGGTTGGCCATGTAGATCACCGAAACGGATTTCCTCAAGCCATTCCGACAAACCAGTATCCAAAGAGACACGAAGTTCAAAGGAAGACCGAACAGCAGCACAATGCTGTAGGTGGAAGTGAAAAGTGGATATCTGAAGTGAGATGTGCTGCAGTTATCTGTGTTGCTGGGTGGCATTGTTCCAAAGATACAGGCGAATTTAAGAGAACTGCTGTGCCGAAATGTGAAATGGCTCTGTAACGATTTTTTTCCTGTGTGGTACCTTTTTTTTAGTTCCACTTGTTAGTGACAGGAAACAGTGGGAGGTGTCAGTAAGTGAATAGCATTTACAAGCAGATATTTAAGAGGAGCAAATTCTGCTTTGGGGGGGTTGAAAATGTTTTGACGTGTGGTCAAATGCAAACCATGTTACATTAGGTCAGGTTGAATGCAAACGTCAAAGTTTGCGCTTGTTTATTACAACCTCTAGTCTCAAAAAAAACTTTTGGGAAAAATACCAAACTGTCAATGGGATGCTACCCTTTCAAAAGGTACTAATATGTACACTTTTGGTACATGTACGATTAAAGTAGTAATTTAGCATTCAAGGGTAAATAAGAGTACAAATTTGTAGCTTTTGTACCTAATTGCACCGCCTCAGTGAAAGCTTTGTACCTTGTTCTTCTGAGAGTGTGGAAACAAAAAATGTATTGATCATGTCATCTTTCAGATCATTCAAAAGCATTCGAAAATGAACTCTTTATTGAACTTCCCCCTTCATGTACTGATAGAAACACAAAAGGTCAGAATGCCTAGTAAAACATCTCAGCGTGTGAACATCACTGATAGTGTTGCAGATAATAACAGCACAATCACACACAAGTCACTCAAGCAAAAAAATAACCAAATAAATATTCTGCTGCATGCTTGGTAAAGTCAGCATGGCCACCACGAATGCAAACTATAATGTATTTCTGCTATAAATGTAAATCTAACTATTTCATTCAAGCCTGCAGTGCTTTTCTAGGTTGTTTAACCATAAAGCCATAAACAGTACATACAGTAAATGTTTGTGCAAAATATTAATAGGCTACAACCTCACAAGCTTACATCTGTTTTCAGAAAAGAGCGATAAACAACTAACTGGCTTGCCTCACCACAGTCTCACTAATACTGTCTTAACGTAAAAGGTCACTTCAGCAGCACATGCACAGACACAACTGCTTTTCGAAAGTCCTGTGGGTGGAGGGGTTGGGCAGACGCTCAATGCAAACAGGATGAACCTATTGCACGTTTGTTGTACAGCACATTTTGTTGACAAAAAAAACATTTAGTTATTTCGGCATCAATATTTTTAAGTTAAACTTTATATCTATGTAGCTGCATGTATGTAATGTAGCTACATGTATGTAATTAATATTTAGAACATTTATTCTAACGGTAATATATATATATATATATATATATATATATATTTTTTTTTACTTGTATGTTTTATCACATTTAATAATGAATAAATTCCAATAAATTAGTCAAATATTGCTTTGAATTGTTTTAGACGTATAGCATGTCACATTTCATGTTGCCTACCGAGGTGCAGGAAAGTTTTGGTGTCGTGGCGCCATCTAGAGGAAGATGTTGCACAGGTTTGTGAAGCCTCACTCAGACATGCGCGCGGAACCGTTTGGCGCGGTTTCTCCTCAGTGAAAAATGTGAGGAGATTCTTTAGAATTAGAAGACAGAGAACAAAAATAGCGCGGGAATATTCCCCTACAATACATTCAGACAAACTGCAAATTAATTCTAGGTCTTTAAGTTAAACGACGTGCAGCTTGTGAACGACTCGACTACAGGTAAATATATTTTACAACTAAAGGAGTATCTAAACATTAATAGTACACAAAAACGCTACAAAAAATGATATGGTATAAAAACGATTTCGTTATATCACGTTATATCGTTGAAATATACGATGATAATCTTTGAAATACATATCACGTAGGCTAAATACCATCATGCATAAATATGGTAATCAATCACAGTGGTATGACTAACGTTATCTCGTAGATCACTCTACATTTTTTTGAAATGCAATTATGAAAAATTAAGCTAGTGCGGTCTCTTTGAGATGCCTTGTCTTTGACAGTATATACTAGCTACATCTTGTAATAATTATAATGATCTGTTTTAAATATAAACACTACCTTTTGTAGATACATAGCCTATGGTTTTCCTGTAAACTTGATTAACATTACATTTCGGTTTTTATCTAATTAATTTAATATTTATTTGAAAAATGTTAAGAACGAAGACTTGAAAATTACAGGCCTCTCTCATCTTTTTAAGTGGGAGAACTTGCACAATTGGTGGCTGACTAATTACTTTTTTGCCCCACTGTATTAACCTAAAACAACATATATGTATTAATTGTATCATTATTTCAGTTATTATTACGGTACATAATATTATGTTACCACACATACATATACATATATTATTATATATTATTGCACATCTATCTATCTATCTGTCTGTCTGTCTGTTTCATTTACCCTTACTTTACTCTGCCATCTCTGTTATATACATACAGTAGATGTTATATACGATGTTATTCTGGCGCCATCTGCTGGTCATAGAAGGAAGAAAAGGTTCATTATACACCGCAAAAACGAGGAAGAAGCACATGGCCAAATCATTATGATAATAACTGAAGCACGATACAAAATTGGCATAAAATGTAACACAATGATTCACATATACCTACAACAACTGTCAAATGTTCCTTTCAAGCTTCTCATTTTATTTTAGTTTGAGGAGGACGTTGAGGATGTTGCCTCACTTCATATATCATATAAACAGACTGCTGAATTCCAGATATGAGTGGACACTCACTATCTGACTAAGAGAAACTAGTGGCACGTGGTTTTGTACCCACACATTCTTACCCACAACATGTGGAAATCGGTGCTGTACTCTTGTCCAAAGGGAACCTGTTCACATTTTACACAGTTTTATTAATATACAGTACAAAACAGTTGAGACAAGTCTACACAAATAGTTTAATATACTGATTTATGAGGCAAAATACAGAACAGAAGAGGTAATTGTGAAGTGTGTAATGCCATACCAAATGTTGCATCAGAAACATTTATGAGTCATTGTGAAGGTTTCAGGATGGTTTGTCAGAAGACCATCGCGTGTGAGCATGAAGACCTTGGGTTTTTCATGTTGACAGTGTTAGCATCATAGCATGAGATAAAGACAAATAAAGAATCTTTGGGGCAAAATCCTTATCGCAGGATCATAAATTCATCGTAAATGTGACGTACACATTATCATTTCAAATGAAAATAACATTAAATAGAGAGCTGCAGTGATGATATATTTTTGTAGGCCAGTTCGGAAATTCACGTCACCTTTGTTTCCTCAACAAAAACCCATTACGATTTTTTTCCATTGACTTCCGGATTAATGCAGAAAAGAAGCTCTGTGACCAACAAAAGCTTACTAACCAAAAGCTTACATGTTTTGTTCATCATAATCATTGTGACAAGCTTCACGATTTTGAAGCCTGGAAGTAAAATGCTGAATGTAGGTTATAAATGAATTACATGTTGCATGACTTCAACTTCACAATCACAAAACTTCCGACAACTCTTTCTTTATTTATTTAAAAACATTTTCCTTTCCTATGAGCCTGTAAAAGCAGACTAGTGAGTAGATGAGTTTACCTGTTTGACGTGATGGTATTTAATGTCCCACACCACTATTGTTCATGTTTAGCCAACTGCCTTTTTCAAGACATGTTAAAGGGGTCATATGATGCGATTTCAATTTTTCCTTTTTCTTTGGAGGGTTACAAGCTCTTGGTGCATAAAGAAGATCTGTAAAGTTGCAAAGACTAAAGTCTCAAATCCAAAGAGATATTCTTTATAAAAGTTAAGAGTCAGCCACACCTACCTAAAACGGCTCGTTCTAACAAGCCCCCACATGTCTACATCACTATGTGGGAAGATTTGCACACAAGAGATGATATTTTGAAGACTGTTGGGAATCAAACATAATTGGAGCCCACTGACTTTCAAACTTCTAATCTCTCAAAATATCTTCTTTTATGTTCAAAAAGAAACAAAAAATACGGTTTTGCAATGACGTTAGTGTGACCAAATGATGACAGCATTTTCATTTTTGGGTGAAATGTGCCTTAAACTTGAATGAAAGAAGTAATAATTTGTCCATTAAATCATGCATTAACCTCAAGAACCTTTGAAATCAGTCCAAAATGTTTTCTTGAAGTCTTTTCGCATTTACAGTTTGGTATATTTTCATGGGTGAAATCCAGTTATTTCACTATAGGAATCCACACTAATTTTAATTTCGTGTCAGGGTGAAAGATTTTGCAGCGGGCTCAAGTATGTGAATTTGCGGAATTGACCAACAGAAAGCTGTTTTTTTTTTTTTTTTTTTACCTGTGCTTCACACGTCGCTACTCTGTTGACAATAGACTTTTTTCAACGTTAAAATTTCACTAGTGTGACCACAACTTTACTTCCACTGGAAAGTTTGTGAAAGTCTAATAAACTGAATTCGACTTCTCAAACATCTGAGGTGCTGGTGGTTCTTGCTCTGTTGATGGACAGTCTAAGCGAGTCCTTGGTGGATCGGACTTCCTTTGCGATGAAATAGTAACACAGTGCATCCAAGCAGCAGGTCACATTTGCAATGTTTATTGACACCTGTATAAAAAGGGAAATGTTCTTTTGCTGTTTGCAGTCTGAAATAAATCCATTACGGACAAGATACTGCAGGAATATGGCCACGTGACAGGGGGTGAAGGGCACTAGGAAGGCCGCTAGGCTGCTGTAGATGATTCTCACACCAGCTTGCCTCTTGTGGTCACTGTTCTTTGAGGCTTTGAGAGTACGGACGCTCTGAATGGAACAAGCCACCAGTACTGCGGCAGGCAACAGGAAACCAAAGACCTCCAGGCACACAATTATTGCAATGCTCCAACCCTTCTGAGAGAAGCGATGGAAACAGGTGAAATTCCCCTTTTCCTCTCCCCGGAAGGTGTAGATGGGTGAAGTCGCTGCCATAACGAACACCCAGATGAAAATGCAAACATTCAAGGCTTTTTTTTTCGAACGCACCTGCTTGGCTCGAAACGGGTGGTTTATTGCGATGTATCGGTCTACGGCTATGCACACAATTGTGTAGATGCTACCGTACATAGCTACAAAGTAAAGACTTTCCAGGAAGGAGCAAAAGAGTTCCTTGTCTTCTGCCCACTTGTGGTGTGCTGCGTGCATTTTGAAGGGCAACTGCAGCAGCAACAGCAGGTCCATTAGGGCCAGGTTGGTCATGTAGATGGAGGACTCTGTCCATTTTCTGAGCAGCCGACAGAACACCACCAGTGCTGCAATGTTTAATGCCAAGCCGAACACCAAGACGGGCACGTAAATGACCAAGTCCAGCTTCTGCGTTAAAGTGTCCACTTCTTTAGTTGAGCAGTTCGTCATAGTGAAACTGGCAGGAGAGAGGTGGGAAATATCACATACGTCTTCATGAAATTTCTACCTTTCACAACTGAAATGTTTATCATATGCACACTCATCAATGTTATGCTTTCTTTTTTCACTTGTTGATGCAACAGTTTATGTATTTATTTTAGATTTAAAAAAATAAGCAAAAAAGAGCAACTTTCAAATCTTTTGTGGATGTTTTGAATGCAAAATGCTAGGTTTTCTATATGCTTTAAACGGCCTTGCTCAGACTTTTCACACAAAGAACTGCACATTTTCTTTCTAAAATAAAAAAAAAAATGGTATGAGAATTGTTTTTATTTAAAAGGCAAAAGCAAGCTGCATGTAGAAAGTACCGGATGACTTGAAGCTCGTTTTTCATTATAATGATATTTTATACTACTTCAGACACATCAAACATTTTACAGGGCTTTACGTTTCTGTTTTTGTTTTCATTTTGCACAAGTTTCCACTCATATAAAAAATGAACATGATGTCAATTTGCTGATGATCAACATTTACTTACTACAATCAGTTGCATCAAGCACTTTCCACCACAGATGATTAATATTTAGCTTTTATCATTATAGTCTAAAATTCATAATGTTGCTAGGTTTTCTATATGCTTTAAACGGCCTTGCTCAGACTTTTCACACAAAGAACTGCACATTTTCTTTCTAAAATAAAAAAAAAATGGTATGAGAATTGTTTTTATTTAAAAGGCAAAAGCAAGCTGCATGTAGAAAGTACCGGATGACTTGAAGCTCGTTTTTCATTATAATGATATTTTATACTACTTCAGACACATCAAACATTTTACAGGGCTTTACGTTTCTGTTTTTGTTTTCATTTTGCACAAGTTTCCACTCATATAAAAAATGAACATGATGTCAATTTGCTGATGATCAACATTTACTTACTACAATCAGTTGCATCAAGCACTTTGCACCACAGATGATTAATATTTAGCTTTTATCATTATAGTCTAAAATTCATAATGGTGCAATTTTGCACAATTGCTTTATTTATTGAAATGATTATAGTCATGTACATTTATGTAAATATTATTGAGGAGACTATAATGTGAACATTCGTTAACGTTTAAAAATACAGTAATTTGAAAGAAAAATATGAGAAAATTATAAATGTAATGATTGACAGTTTTTTTGTAGTTCATTCGATAGTTCTGCATATAATTTCTGCCGCTCTTTAGTTCATTAGTAGATATTCTTACCTTCGCCGATGACTTCAAAGTATCATTTCTCCTAGAGTGAAACTGGTGTCTTCCGTGGTACATACACTCATGAAGTAAATCTTTGTTAAGAAACAAAATATGACTGTTAAAAAAAAATGGAAAGGAAACGGTGACTGTGTAACAATAAAATGACCAAATACCCCCAATTTTGGACACAGTATTTATTGAAATGATTATAGTCATGTACATTTATGTAAATATTATTGAGGAGACTATAATGTGAACATTCGTTAACGTTTAAAAATACAGTAATTTGAAAGAAAAATATGAGAAAATTATAAATGTAATGATTGACAGTTTTTTTGTAGTTCATTCGATAGTTCTGCATATAATTTCTGCCGCTCTTTAGTTCATTAGTAGATATTCTTACCTTCGCCGATGACTTCAAAGTATCATTTCTCCTAGAGTGAAACTGGTGTCTTCCGTGGTACATACACTCATGAAGTAAATCTTTGTTAAGAAACAAAATATGACTGTTAAAAAAAAATGGAAAGGAAACGGTGACTGTGTAACAATAAAATTTTGGACACAGACGTTCTGATAAACACATGCACACTCACACACACACGCAAAACAACCTGCATTCATCTCACAGCACTCATACAAATTTGCATAGCTGTAAAGCTCGTACCTCTGCTGCCAAAGATCAGCAATATTTTCTTAAGCCAATAAACCACAAGAGCAAAATCCGTTGAACGGGACTTCTGCAGGACAAACTGGCGGATGTCTTTTTTCTTCTTCCTGTATTATCTATGAAATACAGCCAATATGTAAGACCCCCTCTTACGCTAAACGTTAAACCTCTTTGACATTTCATCTACTTTTACATCTTAGTCTGAGATGAATGTCTTTCCCTTTTTCAGACATGAGGGCTGCATCTCTCACGAAACCATGTCTGGTGTACAAAAATCACCATTAGCCTCATGAATGAAATAATGAATGGTTTTGTCCCACCTGTACACTACAAAGCATAAGTGTGGTATTTACATAGTTATATTGCTAGTTATATATCATACAGCTATAATATTTTTCCACACAACATTTCAATGAACCTTAATGATGAACACCGAAACTTACTGGAAGAGAGAATTCATTTACTGAAACTATGCCGCTGTGCAATATCCAAACTGACTTCAAAAAAGAGGTTGTTACGACCTGAAAAAAAAAAAGTGTTAAATGAAACGAGGAGTGTCTGTGCTTACCAGGACGACAATTGTCTCATAGGAGAGACTTTCCCTTAAATGCTATCAAGAGAACTGTAGTTTGTAGCACTTATGTTTTCAGAGGTTTTGCCTGTGACCACATCCTTGCTAACAGAAACATGTCTTTGGTACTTTTCTTATATCTTCCTGTTGGCCTGTTAAGTAGGCTACTTCATTTAGTCTTAGTCAATATAATCACAGCTCATATGGGTATAGCTGACATGAAATGTGTTTTGGGAAGTTAACACACCCTGCAATGTGACATACTATACTTCATCCTAATCTAGTTTAAACAACATTTTACTAGTTAATTTACAAGTATAATGGATTGTATTATCACTATTGTGAGCTCATATTAAATGCAAGGTTTACTTTTAAAATGTATATCACACTAAAAGGAGCATTTAAAATGAAGACGTGATTAAAATGGTGAAATAAATACAAAAAAGGTGGCCAGTTATAGAATATACACAGCAAAAACAAACAAACAAAAGTTTTTAAAACAAGACGAATGTACTTAAGAATCAATATTGCATTAGATACCAAGGCTTGTTTTCATTGATTGTGTCTTGAATGCAAGTGTGTTTTTTATAGTTTTAAAGTTTATAGCAAGTGAAAACCTCTGCCAGTGCAGTAAGACAAAATAATATACAGTCTATAAATAATACAAAATCTCTTATAAAGTGTTGCTTCTCGAGCATATATCTATTTATATACTTATGTTTTACATTTTTTATATATTTTTCTTTAAAAAAAGACGAATTAAAAAGTCATTAAGAAGTGTACACTTTCCTTAAACAGTATATCTTTAAAAAATGTAATCGAAAAAATGTGTATTTGTCAATATCAAAATCTCAAATGGATCATACACAACTTCCTGGTTATCTTTTTCCCTTTCTTTTCTTTTCTTTTTTAATTGATTTACGTTCACTGCCAGATGTTTGTTTTATAAATAATGTTCAAATGTGTTCAAATAAGTTTACTGAAAGCAAATAAACAAATAAAAGCTGAAAAGCATATATGGATTTACAGGCAATTTTCAGGCAACATATAAACAATGAAAAAAAGGAATCAGTGATGTGTACACAAGTCTTCACTTGCATGGGAGGCAAAGAGGATCACATTACAATTCAGAGGAAATCGAGATTATTTCCTTTTTGTTTTGACTGTTTCAGGGGCAGCACATAACCCACACACAGTATAGATACTTTAAAGTGCAATATTCTAGTGTCATTTCTCAGAATTGCATTGTTGTGTGACACAGCGTTTGTCTGTTCATGTGCTTGCTTGCGTTCAGATGTAGATGATAGCATTAAGACTAGATTGAGGGGGATATTTCCATTCATCGATGCTCTAGAAGCAGAGAGAACAATAATTATGATGTTTACTGATTAAATAATCAATCATGATTTAATATTACGCTCTTTTCTGGTTTTGCAGACCAAAAGAAATCATGTTTAGCATCTTAAATGCATAGAATAGCATTAAACAAAATATCTGTAATAGAAGAATGACAAATGTAATTGTTTTGTTATTGTATTATCTAATTAATGATTACGTTGATCAAAGAAATTAGCTTTGCAAATTGCATTTCAGCGGGGGATTTTGTACACCTTTAGAATAAAACTCAATTACAGTGTAGAAATAGAAAGTGTAACTTCACTTTATATCCATATGCCTTCCTATGTATGTATTTGATAACCTAGCAACAGGCCTATTTTTGGGGAACAAACTGCAAAAAAAAAAAAAAATGTCACCAGAAGTTTGTTTAAGTTCCACAAAACCTCCTTTAGTGATGTAACAGATAATTATATTCACTTCACTTCAACAAATAAGTAAACACAATAAATAAATAATATTAAAAAAATAAAATAAAAAACCAAAACGGGTCATTTAGGATTAGGGCTAGGATTTAGGTTTTATTCTTTTAGGTTAGTAGGCTTTTTAATAAAAACAGAACTAAAATAGGAACATACCTAAGGTGTAGCTATTAACATGAAAATATAGGCTAATTAAAAAATGTAATAAAAATCAATCAAAACGAACAAATAACAAATTGCATTACATACATACAAATACACACCATAGATTATTAAACTGGTCAGAATATTTAGCTTTATCATTAGCCTATAGTTTTTTTTTTTATTGTAATTATTGAAATAAATTATTTGAGAAGAATACTGTTAATGTATAATACAGTGCTAATGCAATACAGTAATTTAAAAGAAAATACTTGAGAAAACGGCAAACGTAATGACTGACTGTTTTGTGTAGTTCTGCGTTTAATTTAAAAGTAGACTACCATCTGCAGCGCGTGCGTGCGCTGCTGCTGTCAGCACGCTAGCGCTCATCCGGGCAATTTTCAGCATAGGTGATGTCATGTGACCCAGATTCAGCCATCTTGTGGATACGAAACGAGAGACGCCACTCGCACACAAACTCAGCGCTGTCAGTAAAAGCAGAGGTAAGACAGCGGGCCCGGCGTACATGGTTTTGCTCTAAAATAAAACTTAACTATTCCTACGCTAACTCTAACATAGACCCGCCCCAACGTAGCGGACCGACGCTATTGTAGTCCGCATGGTTGTTAGGCCTGGAAGCACCGGGCTCGATTAGACCGGCCTACCGCTGATGATGCTATCAGCGATCGGTAGGCAGCTGTAGTGGAACGCGGTGTGGCTGGAGACTGACACAGGCCGCGTGGATTAAAACTCGTGTCAACTCACTCACACCTGTACTTCGATGTGCTTCTGCCGGCATTTATTCCGAAACTGTTTGACAGTTCGTACATTTCACGGCGGTGCGTGGGCTGATTTAAAGTTGCTAGGAGTTGGGAGTCAGAAAGTTAAAAGGCCAGCGATAGCCGGTCTAGGATATTTCACCTTATTAAAACGTCTCTTTAAACTGTTAACGTTACATGACATCTACAGCTGTCAATTCAATAGTTCACGTTATATCTAAACGTATTTATTGGTGTTTTCTTGCTCTAGCTTGTGGACTGCAGTGCTTTACAGGGTGTATGAAGGCATGGACCGACAGGGACGTGATCATTGAAACCTTAAACTGACATTTATCATTGTTCTTTTGAGGTTGCGGAAATTAAAACATGTTAAAACAAGTCTTGAAATTAAAACAAGTCTTGACGCCGATCAATTCCACATGGTCACTTAAACTAACCTTCTTGACTGCTCAAACTACTTATGATATAAAAAATGTAACGTTACAAGTGTCTTTTCTGACCTGCTATTAGCCTCTAAAAGACCAAAAATGCCTTGTTCCACACATATTACAGCGTTGAAAATCGATAACTTTATGCGTATTAAATCTATGAAATGCTAATCAATGGATTTTAACTGGGCAAAAACCTGCAATCTGTTGACCATCTGTTTTCAACCTAAACTAGCTTTATTGACTTCTGTTTTGTGTTCAACTGCTGCCTTCCCCCTCCTCCCTGACTGGTGTTAAATAAATACTTGAGCTGTGCATGCCTGTTTGTAATCTGATGCAACCTCATAATTGCACGATTTGATGGGTTTCTATCAGATAAACCGATCAAAGTGCTTTTTGTATGTATCTAAAATATGTTTGGTTAGTTGTTGTTGATGGGAGTATGTGTAATCTGGATCGGATTGCTTCATTTGGTTGCACACATGGTTTAAATCCCAGCAGCAGCAAGTCACTCCTGTTTGTTTTGCATAGACATTGTCATCTACATGATGTGGCTGTCTAGAGCTTCATACTAAATTTAGAATGTATAGTAATAAGATGCAAATAAAATGTAAAGATCTCTTCTATTCCCTTTAGCTTAAATGGGTCTTGTTTGACAGGTCTG